ACATGCCTAAATGTTCTCCTTAATCATGGCCTAACTGAACTGAATCAATCTGTCACTTTAAAGTACTTTCTTGTTTTCTATACTCCATAATTATTACAAGAGAAATTTCAAAAAGTGAAAATAAGACATTACACGTCATTTCATCAGAACAATCAAGATTTTAGTATAACGAAGCAATGCCCAACAATGTGAATTGCTGTACCTAAAACACCGAAGTAGAAATATATTAAGAACTTCAGGCAACCATAGATTGCAGAGATCTGCAGAGCATTTTGCTACTGGTGGTATTGCCCCTCCCGAATACTTTTTACATCTCATCAAAATCTATCTTTGTCCCTCCCCCGTCTCCCCCCATAGGATCTGTGCAGCTCCCAAACATCAGCCAACAGCCTGAGAGGAGGGAAGTGCTGTTATCTCCATTTTACAGAAGGTTTAACAGAGGAATTATGTGATTTATCAGGACTATGCAGAATGTCTGACATAGTCTTAGAGTAGGAACCCCATCTCCTAAGTGCCAGTCCAGTGCCTTAGCCACAAAACTAATCTCCTCCATGACTACGAATCACATAGGAAAATATTCAATTGTTCTGTTAATACCTTTTGTCTTTACTACCTAACAGGAAGAGATTGCATGTTTCAGGCCAGAAAGAACTAGGAAGCTGGCAAATAAAAACATAATTTCTTTAAAATTCTCATAACAGATTTAAGGAAACATTTATTAGCTATAGTATACGGGGCATGTCTAAAGCAATTTTCAGCTGATCATCTCAAAGTACTTTAAAAATACCAACAAGCTAAACCTCACACCAATGTAAGATCTTATTATCCCCATTTTACAGACAGGGAAACCAAGGCAGAGAAATATAGGTGCTGATCCAACAAAGCACTTAAGCACATGCTTAACGTTAAGTCAGCAAGAACTAGTTATGTGCTTACATGCTTTGTTGGACTGGGACCCATGGACACACAAGTCAGTGGCAGCGCTATCCATCCTGATCACCCAAACATCTGTAAACAGTAAATGAGTCTTTGACCCCCATCCATGCTGGATTTTTAACCATTCCACAGTCAGTTTAAGTAGGGTCCCAGCATTCCAAGTTTTAACGTGCTTTGTCCAACCATTGTGGACAATTCCATACTAGTTCAAACCCACATTTAAAAACTATACTTCAAGGGTTCCACATTGGCCAGCCAAACCACTTCAGAAATCATTTTAGCAGGAACTGTGTTTAAACTCCTTAAAAGTCCATTCTAGATGAGCTTAAAGTTTATTATTCTAAACAGTACAAAGTATTTAAATGTATATAGTGTCATATAATTTAAATAGGATAATTCTATTTTTCATGATTCTTGATACTCATTTAATAACCTTGGAAAATACTCTCCTCTAACAATTCCTTCTTTTCCATTTGGCAAACATAGGGCTTTTCCCTCTTTCTAGACTTTTAAATGGAACAGAAATGAGTGTTTGTTGTTTAAAAACACAGAACAAGGCTATTCATGCCAAACTGTCTTTGTTGGCATACAAGCAGCACTGGAGAGGTCACCACAGTTAGCATCCTATTTTAAGGGTATCCGCTGCTTACGGCGCGATGGGTGCTCTGTTCTCGGACTCCTGCAGTACAGAATCAGATATCAGGTATGGCTATTTGCTTGCTATCTTGTTTTCATATTCCGTGTTGCTACAATAAAAATAAAAGGCACACTAATCTAGTCTGGAGCCCTTTTCTAGATTACACACAGAGTTTGGCAATAGGAATATCAAGCAGAGGCAACCACTTGAAACCAAATAACATAATGTACATAGATAAAATACATTAGTCACAAACTATTTACTGTAAGAAAAACACAATCCAAGAAAGAATATGAATCTGCAACTGTCCTTCTAATATCAAACTGTATGATGCTGCTGAACATACTTGAGGGTCCAATGCATGTAACTGTAAAGATTATTCAGACGATAAATAAGTAGCAAATGTATATACCACTAATCTACAACAAGCAAAAATATTACCATGATGGGTCAGAGCAATGAGGCATTTTTCAACACTGTTTAATACCGCAGGTACACACTGTGATTATAGCTCATACAACTCATGCCCACCCATTATATATGTTTTTTATTCTCAATAAATGGTGAACATTATTGAGCCATTTCTGCAGTAAGAGAGAAAGCATAAAATGCTGTCTACACAGGTCCAGCAAAAAAAGTGACTGTGTTTTTGATGGAATATGATAAGAATGTTCAATTTGCACAATTTAGCACTCAAAAAATAAAATCAAGAAATACCAAAATTTAAAGTTGCACATTCATGCTAAAAATCTACTTCCCGGTATGTATGTATTATGATACAAAACCTGATTCTGATCTCACTTACATGGGTGTAAATCAGGGGTAACACCACTGAACCAATGCACTTTCACCGGTGTAAGTCAAAGAATCATTCAAAAATCTTTAATCACATAATGGTTCTCAACCTCCACCATATATTATCATTCCTTCCTCTCCATGCCCCTTCCCCACCCCCAAAACTCAGATACACGTTTGTGGCATCTTGTAACTTTTAGGAATGGTGCTGCTTCCACCTTAGCTCATTTCCAAACTTTGGAAAGTTTCAAGAGAATGAAACCAATTGCACATCCTACTTCAATCCCACCATGTTAGAAGGGCACCATGGGGGAAATTTACATTGTTCTGCACCCTCTCTCCCAGAGCCGTTTCAAGGGCACGGCAAATTGGGGCAACTGCCCCAGCCCCCCCGCTTTGTGGGTACCCACGCTTCATGAGGAGGCGGGCAGGGAGGTGAGGCGGGAGTCAGCGGGCAGGGAGGGGGGAGGAGGAGCCCCCCTACCAACCTTCCCCTCCCCCCCTAAGCTTCCCGCTCACCAGCTGGCCCCGTCAATCGGTGCCTCCCCCTCCCTCCCAGTGCCTACCGCCAATCAGCTGTTTTGTAGCATCTGGACTTGGTGCTGGGGAGAGGATGGAACTGGGTGGGGAAGAGGCAGGGCAGGGGTGGGGTAGGGGCAGGACCTGGGCAGAGCCGGGGGTGGGAGCACCCCCCAGCAGATAGAAACTTGGTGCCTATGTCCCGGGCCCCACACCCCCGTAGGGACAGCCCTGCTCTCCCCACCCACCAGGTTAGCCCTTCACCTCCTCCCAGGGCAGTGAGTGCCACACTTTTGTGAAACACTGCCTTATACAATACAAAGGAAATGTGTCAAGGTAGAAAAATGTACTCAACTTCTATTGCCTTTGGATCAGGCCTATGCTGAAGGTGCACAACAAACGAGGAAAATGTTTTTTGCTTTGCCTCATTGATTACTCCACCCGTAAGATGTGCAGCGAATGAGGAGTTTCACTGAGTACCTTCAATAAATATCCATCACTGTGTAGCTAAATCAGCTGGGAGCACCCCTGCTGTGTAGCCTTCCTTAGCTATGCACCTTCACAAGTGAAGAGAGAAAAATCTTGTGAAAAAACTTACCTGCACAGAACATTTTTCTTTCAGTGCATTGTAACATGGTCAAATCAAGGCCAGTTTCCAGCCAAACGCTCAAAGGCTCGGAAGTAAGGACTAATTCCCTGCTAACTTCACACCATTTTGGCACTACAGCTATTAAAAAAATGTTGCCAGTGTCTTTTTACGATGAGGGAAGTGCATTTTATTCACTCTCCTTGTACTTAAAAATATTTGAATAATTTCATACATACTTTTTCTTTTTTTTTTAATCACTTTCAAGCAAAGCTGAACCCTAGAAAATTTCAGACTGGAAGTAGAAGGTTTTGGAAATATACTGGTAAGTGTCAAGACACTAAGGGTTAGAATACAAATTTGTGCAATTTTAACGTCTCTCAGCTCCTTGTCCTGCTGTAATTGAGCAATGGACAGGAGGTTTGCGGGACTGGTCCTAGATATTTAAGATGGAGGGCATGAGTCCCATTTACACCAAGGCCTACTTTACACTGCTCTGGGAGCGTAAAGGGTACTTAAAGTTGACATAAACGTACATTTACACCTCCTTACACTGTCAAAGTGGGGGAAAAGCAGCCTTAGTGTAAATGAGAATCAAACCCAAAATCAAGTTTGCATCATTCCTAAAACTAAACACTAATGTACATTTGATCTCACTGGGACCTGCTGCATTCTTAGCTGTTCTTGTGTCACTATCATATTTTTATGCTTCCATAGAGGCTGTTGGAGTCTACTTGTAATGCTGTAGGTAGTTTATCAAGTAGTAAACAACAAAAAAGCTAACAAATATCCATCCATTAAAACAAAACAAAAAAACAGAATAAAACCCCTATTAAAAAAAAAAAAAACACACGCACACAACATATATTTTATGGACTGAACCCTTGTGACTGATGAGGTGGTTTATAGACCTGTTCTTCAGCTAGTAAACACCATTCCTAAGCTTACAGCAGAGTCCTCTTTTGGCCAGGAGGTCTAGTGTCTCCTTCCTTGGGAGGCTGTGGAAACTTCTTCACTGGAGGTTTTCAAAAGGAGGCTGGAGAGCCATCTCTCTTGGATGGTTCAGACACAACAAATCTTGCATCTTGGCAGGGGGTTAGCCTAGACGACTCTTCTAACCCTCTGATTCTTTCCTGCCTGGGCCCTCCAGATTCTGTTCCTCCTGAACCAACGCTCATCTTTTTCCCCCTCTGCTGGGCTGCCTATCAGGACCTAGGAACCTAGCCTAGCCTCTGCTCATCTCACAAGATCTGCATTACTTCCTCTCACTCAGCAGACTCTCAAGAAATATGGTCTGTGGCCAACCATGGGCACCATGCATCACGTCTACGTGGCACTGCCTCTCTCATCCCAAATGATGATATCAACACAGTCAAGAAAGTGCAGCTCTTTGGTTACTAACATCAAAGCCAACGTCAAAACCACAAAAAGAAAAGGAGTACTTGTGGCTTTTCTTTTTGCGAATACAGACTAACACGGCTGTTGCTCTGAAACCTGTCAAAACCACAGTGATAGTTCTGGTCTTACCTACAAGATCCTCTGCCATAGTTTCCTTACGCTTTCTCTCCAACTGGTCTCTCACCCATGGAAACTCCTGTAAGGAATCTAAGAACGTCCGAAAGGCCTTGGGTCCTCTGGTAGGAAGGATATCTAGAAGCATCATGGTTTTTCTGTGATTGGTGGCTTGGGACTTTATTTCTTGAAGGTGGTTTTCTGTTAGAATGCCTTCCTGGTAGAGGTAGTGAATGATGAGCCCTTCCACCAGCACCTCTGAGCAGAGCACCAGCCGCAGGGAACGCAGAACCTGCTTGTCTCTGGCATCCATCTGTCACGAGGCGTGTGAGAGAAGAAGCAGGACACGTGAGATATTAAAATGCTTCAGTTTTTAAGATCAAAGAAAGCTATTTTACAGTTCAAAGTGTTTAAAAAGAAAAACCACCCTATGATCAGCCAAAGTGGGAACCATATATCACTGCTCAGACACCTTTTTTTCTGCTGGGATTTCATGTACCGCCTCAGCTGCGAGTTGATTTCTTACCTCTCAGACTGCACCTGGGGCCATGAATTTGGGACCTGATCCTTCTCCCACTGAAGTTAATGTGTGTTTGCCTTAGTGTAGACTTAGATGGGAGCAGAACTGAAGCATTAAGGCCACAATCCTGTAAACTCCTTGGAACAGGGATGCAGCTGGATAACTGGTAGGCTTGGGGCCTTGAGATTAAAATAGCATGTTTCTGAGTCAATTGCTTTTTTTGTGGGAAGTGAAAAACTGAGAATTAGGGCAGGACAGACTTACTGCGAAAGGATTTAAAAGGAAAGAGCTCAAGATCTTTTCTGTATCTGAAACAGCTCAGCTTGTATTAAAAACAATAGAATTAGTTGTCTTTAATTACTTGGGTGTACACTCAATGCAAGACACCCATTAGAAACACTCCTGGTGCCCCATAAACCAAAATATTTCAAGGATTAACCTGGTAGTTCCTATATGAAAGACAGTTTTTGCATGGAGTCAACCATTTCCTGAGAGAAGAAAAAGCTAGTGCTGCTCTCGCTTCCTCTCCTCTCAACCTCAGTTGAACTCTTTTTGCCGCACACACACCCATCTTCCCAGCATATAACATTCCACAACTCCCCTCCCACATGGCTCCCTTCCAGAAAGCCAAGGCCACTCAGGCTGTTTGTAAGAGATTAGAGGAGCCAAGATTGCACTGATGAGCAGTCCTGATCCTTGCCAAGAGCTGCTGGGGGAAGGGGGAAATGGAGTGAGGTGTGTACATATCTTAGATATTTACAAAGGACCAACAACCCCTTTGTGTTTTTAAATGATGCTTAAATACCAGTGTCTTTCAGGCTGGGAAGAGAGCTCCCAAAGTCTAGATATTTGGAGGGGGAAGGCGCTAGACAGGGAACCAAGCAGAAGACCTGGAGACTTACCATGATCCATTCCTGAGGTGAAATCAGCCTAGAAGGAGAGTTTAAAGATGGAGCACAACTAAAAGCAAAGAGCTCCCCCTTTCTCACTAATTTCCCCCTCCTGACTGTTGCAGTGAGAGCTCCCCCTCCTGTTCCAATCTACTATAACCACTGTCTGGAAGGGATCCAAGATCAAGCTAGAGGAGGCTTTTTTTTTTTTTTTTAAAGTAAATAATAGTGATGGTGGAGGGGAAGAGAGAGAAGAAACACCACATCATCCCTATTACAGAAAACTGCTGTCCACCAAGCAAGAAGACCAAAGTTACAGTAAAGTCAAAAATTTCCCAAGTATTTCTAAATATTTGTGATTTTTCAATTTCAGGACCAGACTAAGAAACATTCACTAACTCAGTGGTACTTGTACAGTCCCTGACTTGCACATTGGTATTGCTATAGACACAGGGGAAATCACTATTTGCATGCATACATTGATGTGGAAGCACACTAGAAGTGAAAGTTGAAAATCTGGCTCTGACTAGCTTCCTCATACCCATTTATTTAACCTTTGAAATAAACACTCTAGCTTTTCCCCAGATTTAATAGATATTATATTAATTGGTTTCTCTGCAAGTCAATAATAATTTGGACTGGATTCCTAGGACTCCTGGCACGTTGCAATAGGGAAGTTAGTGCCTGGTTAGGCAGGAATGATGTGAGCCATTAACTCCAAACGGCCTCATTATTATCCTATCAGGGCTGGATGGTTTTTCCCAGCTTTTTCAGTTGGAAAATGCTCCATAAACGACATAGATTCACACTTCAGAAGTTATCAATACATAATTTAGAAAACAGGTGCATCCATTACAATAAAGAACAAACAGATTGGCTATTGCCATTCATATTACTCGCGCTGCACGTCTAGTATTTTCTGTAGCTCATCTAATCTAGCAGGTAAGATTTAGGGTTCCCCCCCTCCTCATGATTACTTTATGCAAGAGGAATAATGTCATAAAGCTGTAGGGAGACATTTGTCGTTTCATTGAATCGATATATGCGGCTACTGTCTCAGACACTGTGTAAATACACATAGCTCCAGAACGCCACCTGAAATTCATTGAGAACTTTATAGCTTTTCCGCAGGAGATGAAACTGTCTCAGGGGTTCTGGGGTGGCTGGTAATTTAACTCTAGTAACACAGGAATCCACCAACAAATTACACTTACTATACATCAGCCCTTGGCTACGGTAGCTGGGTAGGAGTGGATCTCATGCCCTGAGGGGTGCAAGGCAGGAGCGTTGTAGCCTCCCGTGCTAACCGGAGACCCGGGTCAGCAGCAGCACCATAAATCACAGCAGCACTGCGTGTCTCCGCAAAGCCACCATATCACTATAAACTGAGCCGGTAGCAGGATGCGTCAGTACTGTGGAAGCTGCTGCGGGAGGACAGCCTACCATGGCTGGACCTGTCTTGGTGTGTGCGTGTGCATGTAAGTGCCTGGATTGATCTTCCAAAGCCAGCCCCGCTGGGGGCAGCAGGAAAGGTGCAGAGATCATAAGAAGCGGGCTAGACAAGAGACCGGAGGAAAGGAGCGTGCAAGGCCAGCCCCCAGTGCAGGGGCAGCAGGGCTCCCAGCCAGCGCCTGGGGAAAGCACTGCGGAGCCGGCGTTCTCTCCCCGGTCACTGGAGCGTACTTACAGCCGGAAAGCCGGGGATTACACACGCTCCCGGCCCGGGGCTGGAGGCACCATCTTTGTTGAAGGCAAAAGGGCTGAACAGGAAATGCCCTGCCTCCATCCTTCTTAAGGGGACGAGTCCTCCAGAGGAAATGCAGCAGCCATGTTTGTTGAGGTCAAATGCTTTGCCGTAGAAAGCGCAGCAGCCATCAGTGTTGTGGACACAGGCACTCCCAAGTGTTAGACTAGCAGAGAGCACTTACCTAGAACATGCCATGTAAGTGTAACATGAGTTGTAATCGCTACCCCTGAGAGATTGTTCTTTGTCTGGAGCGGTGTTGTAGCCCTAGCAGTCCCAGACAAAGGCAAAATCTTTTATTGGACACACCTCTGTTAGCAAGAGAGACAAGCTTTCTAGCTACACAGAGCACTTCTGCCGGGGGGGGGGAGGAGATTGGTCTTTGTCATTAGCAGCCAACTTGATTTGTTACAGTGCTCATATGTCCATCCATGAAACAAGATGACTATTTAAAATGCTCAAAAGTCAGAACTGTGATAGTTAAGGTTGAACATGTAACCTTAATTCTGCCCCATTGTGCATATGCATTAAAGTACAGTCATTTAATTTTAATCAATAGCAAACTGTAAAATCTATAGAAGTATAATTATAATATCAAAAATCCATTGGAAGGGAACAGTTTGGCTCAATATTTAGATTTTGCACAAATTAAGAAAACCTTCCTTTATTACAAATGCTGCTACGTTTTATTCCAATGGAAAATTTTTTTAAACAAACTTCTACAGTGATTACAACTCAAAAAATGCAGTACTAAAAATGTACAAATTAAACTGTAAACAAAGGTGAAATTGACTTGATTGTCCAAACTGAGGGAAATTCAAAAAAGTAAACAACATAGTAAGAGAAAAGCAAATTGAGTTTTTAAAATGTTGTCAGTTTTAAAAATCTAAGATGTCATTATTAGTAATACAGACTCCAGTTCTGCAACACACACACATATTTAACTTTACTCACTGTGAGTAGTCCCATTGACGACAATGAGGGCATGTAGTTAAGTAAGCACATGTCTTTACAGGATCTGGGCCATCAGTGAGCCTGCAATTGCATGTGCACAGCAGAGCCCCCTTCTGCATTGTAGGATGGAGTCCATAGGCAAGACAAAATGTTTCCTCACACCACATGACTTTTCACTCGAAGTGCCCCTTTTAAACTGAGATAGACAGAACTAAGGCTCCCTATTCCAGAATTAGTTTGGTATTACTAAATTTACCAAGTGACTATAGTGAGAATTCATATTTATGGACAAACTCACTTTGGGGTGTTCAGGGTTTTTTTTATAACTGTAATGTTCTTTCACAACTGTTTTTGTGAATGGAGATGAATTTAGCAACCTTGTTTTAAAATAAAAAAACAAACAAACAAACCCTACAACAAAAAAACAAGCACCAAAAATGCTGGGAATTCCCTTTTTTTTTTTTAAGGTTTTAATGAATGATCATTGTTTCACAAGTAATGGGAAGAGTGGCTGTATTATGCACACAGGAGAGTGGGAATGGTGTCTGCATTCTAGTACTAAAACTTTCTGATAGGGCTACATCTGAAAGGGAATAAGAAGGAAGTGATGCATAAATGTGCTATGATTGCATCTTCAAGTCTGTGAATGAGAGGATGGAGTAATGCCTGTTCTCTGCCATTCTTTATATTCCTTTAGGACCCTGATTGGCTAAAAAGATGCTGGCTTTCTCTGCCCGTCTATCTGTCTCCCTCAACCCAACCCATTCAGTCTCTGTTGGCTCCTATGCCTCCAAAGCTTCTCAAGGCCTACAGTGTCCAGGACTTTCCCTTCTGGATTCCAATGATTCACAGCTGCTGTCAGCCACAGAAGTCTGTCCTCACAGCACAATTGCCCATATACTAGTGTGATATTCATATATTATGTACCAAAGAGTGGTAGGTGTTGTATAAGCACTTAGGGAGACAACAATCTAAAAACCAGAATCTGTTAAGTCTTCAGTAGGATTCCAATTCTGTCTTAAAGAGACAGAGTTAGTTTCCACAAGTACATCAGGAACAGCATTTTGCAAAAGTGGGACCAGGATAGGGATACCCTCTGTCACCCATCTCTCTATCCCTAAGTGGTTAGTTGTGCGACTGCTTCCCTCTGGGAGATCAGCTGCACAGCTCCCTTTCAAAGCCTGACCCACTGGTTGGGTGCCTAGGTCCACAGATGCTGGAACAGCTGTTCTGTCCGGGGCAAACCCCCCCGCATGTAATCAGTGAGGAGACATTCCTGTACTCCCACCAATTCTCTCAGCTTCCTTCTCTGGGTCCCTGGGTAAGACACACATCTCTGTGCTCTCTAGAGTGGGATCTATCCCCTGTTCAGTTGTGAAGGGCTCACAGCTAACAGCCGGAACAGTTCTTTCACTGGCAAGCACTATACCCTCCTCCCTCTCGGAGTTGGGTTTGCCTCCAATTACAGAATCAATGGATCCGTCACCCACCTCAGTGGTCTCTACGATTCCATCACCCTTCACTGGTCTTCCCTCTAGGACAGGGTGGCCAACCTGTGGCTCTGGAGCCACATGCGGCTCTTCAGAAGTTAATATGCGGCTCCTTGTACAGGCACTGACTTTGGGACTGGAGCTACAGACGCCAACTTTCAAATGTGCCAGTGGGTGCTGACTGCTCAACCCCTGGCTCTGTCACGGGCCCTGCCCCCACTCCACCGCTTCCCGCTCTCTCCCCTGAGCCTGCCGTGCCCTCCCTCCTCCCCCAGAACCTTCTGCACGCCACAAAACATCTGATCAGGAAGTGTGAGGAGGGAGAGGGAGGTGCTGATTGGCAGGGCTGCTGGTGGGTGGGAGGCGCTGGGAGTAGGGGAGGGGAAAGCTGATGAGGGGCTGCTGACATATTACTGAGGCTCTTGGGCAATATACATTGGTAAATTCTGGCTCCTTCTCAGGCTCAGGTTGGCCACCCCTGCTCTAGGACTCATCTCTCTATGCATCCTAGAGTGAGGTCTGTCCCTTGCTCACCTGCAACGTGCTGGGAGCCAGCAACCTGGAGAGCTTTCTCATTGAGAGGCAACACACTCCCTTCCCCTGCAGGAGGAGATGCCGCCTTTAGCTACAGGGCAGCAGGAGCTGGTCTCAACCACACCCACCCCTGGAAGCATACAGTTTTCCACTGCTGCAGAGGAATTAAAGAGACACTCCCATTCTTCCAGTAGTTCCTGAGATTCTACCCTTTCTCTCTGGGGTTCAAGCATAACATTTCTCCTTGACAGCCCAAGCTACACAGAAGAAATCATTCCCCAGCAACAAGGCAATCAGGTTATCATTTACCACAGCCAATACAGCTTCCATTTCCAAATTCTCAGTTTCTATGTACACTTTAGCCAAAGGCACAAGGATTTTATAACCTCCTACTAATAAAAGCTCTGCCATCTGTCCTTGCAATAAGTCACTTTCCTGTACAACATTCCTTCTAACCACAGAAATTTCTGCCCCCGTCTTCCCACCCAAGGCATTCCTTGCCATTAATCCTGACAGCCTTCATGTGCTTTATGCCCGTCTGTGAAAAGGCTACTTTTACAAACCCTGTACGATCAGTGGCAATTGCCTGAGGTGCCTCTGTGCTCTGGGTGGCAACATTCACATGAGTTGCTTGCTGCCTGTTCCCTCCCAGCACAGGACATTTATTCCTCAGGTGTTCAGTGGAATTACTTCTCCCCCCACTCCCCGGGTCAGCAGCCCGAGGAGGGGAAAAAGGGACAATGGGACAATGACGTTAAAGGGGCTTTAACATCGCTGCCCCTTTTGTGCCCCCCATCAGTGGCCCTGCCGGGTCATCACTGCCCCTTTTGCGCCCCTCCCATCAGCGGCCCTGCCAGCTTCTTACTAGTTTCACTTTCACTCATTTTGCTCCTTTTCTGTCCCTACTTCCCTTTCCCAAAATAAGCAAACAGAAAATAACAAACTGGTAACCTCTTTGACTGATCTCAAGCCACCACACTTACAACTCACTTAAAATCACCACCAGTGTATAGAGTGCTCACTCAGAACAAGCTGTGCATTTAATCCTGCCAACTATGCCACTGTGATGGGTTACCCCCAGGGTGCCACCTGGCACTGGGGTACCCCGAGCCCTCTAACCCACCAGCCTGGGCTCCCTTTCACACTGTACTGCTGTGACAAGCTGCCAAGCCCTCCAGCCTGCACTTTCACCAGCATTCACACAAATAGGGACACACAGGCTCTCTAACCACCAACTTCCCAGCCTATGACCTCAGAGCAGTACCATTCTACCCTGGTCAAATCTGGTCAGTTTAATTGGTATGGGTTTAATACCCAGTCTGCCTCTCCCTCAACATGAAGAGAACAAAACACACTTGTGGTGACCAAGCCGAGATTTTCCCCAAGCACTCCAGTCAGAGCTCACTGATTTGGATTAAAACATAAAATAAATTTAACTACAAAAAATAGATTTTAAGTGATTATAAATGATGGCAAACAAATCAAAGCAGATTACCTAGCAAATAAACAAAAGCACAACCTAAACTTAATATACTACAAAGACTGGATATGAACAGCAGATTCTCACCCTAACTGATGGTACAGGCAGATTTGTAGATTCTTAAGGCACAAGCTACACTTGCTTTACAGCTTAGAATCCCCAGGTGTTTCAGACACAGAGGAAAATCCCTTTAGCCTGGATCCAGCACTTCCCCCACTTCCTCAGGTGTTTCCAGGAGTCTTCTTGTATGAGGAGTGAAGAATCCCAGATGATGTCACTCCCTGCTTTATATAGCTTTAGCATATGCTGGGAACCCTTTGTTTCAAAGCTTGGTTCCCAGACCAGTTTGTGGAAAGATATTAACATCCCAAGATGGGAGTCCAGCATCATATGGTCTTGTCACATGTCCTTGTAGAGTCATAGCAGCCATTACTTACAGGCTGTCTATAGCATTCTCAAGAAGGCTCACCAGGTAGGGGACAAGCTTCTCCGAAGGCCTATTGTTTTTCCTAATGGCCCATTTCCCTGATCAGGCCCTTCCCAATCACAGATCTAGACTGAAAGCATCTTGTCTACTGGGTGTTACCCAGGTGTAACTACATTTGAAATACAGACAAGTAGTCAATATTCATAAATTCAGATACAAAAATTATACAAACATACAAAAAGGATAATCATATTCATCAAATCATAACATTTTCAATGATACCTCATGACTTATCTTGTACAAAATTCATCATAATTATGTCATAATCTTATCATAACAACATTACTATGATGAATATGGGGTGCAGTGTCACACCTGCACTAGATCTTTGCAGGGAGACTTCAGTGATCATATGGAGTCCTATTACAATCAATGAAACTCTCTGCAGACTCGTGGGTGCACCTGCAAGGGACTCCTGGCAGTACTGGGGCCTAAAGGAAATGAAGAAGGTGGGAGAAAAGGATATAGCAAACAAGCAAAGGGATGAGAGTGATGACTGACATCTTTGGTTAGTTCCATTGGGTTTATGTCATTGTTAGTTTTTTTTGTTTGTTTTTAATATATGTTTATATATTCTATATAATTTAATGTTTTTATACGTCTATATAAAATCCCCAACTGCCTCTCTGGCTGGCCACTATTAGTTCTTAATTTTTTCATTCATTGCTTACTTTGTTATAAATTATTTTGAACCCTTTCCTAGTTCAGAACCTCCCCACCCCCACCCCGCATTTGTTTGCATAGCCCTTTCCCATTTATTATTTCTACTTATTTTTAGCTTACTGACCATTTTCAAAATGTGTGTGTGTGTATATATATATATATATATATATATATATATATCAGCCCTAGTTTTTATTTCTTGCCTTTGTGTGTGTCAGATCCCCTTAGTGTTTTGTGATTGGTAGGGGCACAAGATTGTCATGGTGCTCTCGGGCAATGGGTTGGAAGCATTAAGCCACTAACCTGTTGCTCTTCATAGAAGCAGTCTTGTCTTGAGACGTAGCCCACTGAGGCAGCCACTGCTGTACACTTCTTCACCAGCAATGGAATTTTCATTTCACCCCTGGGAAGGGGTAGAGAGAGCAGGCAGTAGCAGAATCTTCATACACACCCTGTTTGGAGTAGCTGGGGGTGGGATCTTTATACCCCTGCACAGAGATACATGGTGATACCTTCCCCCAGGTTAGCAGTCCTTCAACACCAGTCAGGTAAAATATTCCACAGATGTCCATACTTTCTCTTTTTTTGATACTGCTAAGAGAGAAGTCAATAAGGCTTCGGTCGGGCCCATTAGTCTGCCTATGAGACACAGATGCAGGATCAAGGCCACAAGGAGCAATTTGGGGTTGCTCTTCAGTTATAGAATACCAAAATGGTTGGACCTAGAGAAAGCAATTTCCCAGTCTTTTGACTGTTCTTCCTTTCTTTAGTAACATTGCAAATCAATTTAGCCTCCATTCACTGTTTTTAGATCTCCCTTCAGCATTTCCTATTGACTAATACATTGCCTGGGAATAAACATCTTAAATTGGCTTCTGCAATAGTATTAAATATAAATACCACGTATAACAAGAAAATTGTTCTAGGAGGAATGGCTCTCTACTGCTGCTTCAAAATTCTGTTTACAGGCTAGTTGATATTACTACTATTAGATTAAATTAGACTGCACAATTTTAAAAGATATTTTTTGCTACTTGGGGAGGGTCTTGTACTTGAGAAACCTATTTTCAGCAAGTTATTCTTATTTTACCTATGTTAGTACAAAATTCCATTACATAAATAGTTGCTCATGGGGTACAAGTGTTCCCTCAAGTGAAATTCGTTAGCCAACTTCTTGGATTCTCCCTAAGACATTCAACAAACATTCTAAACTTCCTATTTTAAACACTTCTTGTCTCCTGTTAACTTTTTAGAACATTCAATGTTGTTGTAGCCATGTTGGTCCCAGGATATTAGAGACCAGGTAGGTGAGGGAATATATTTTATTGCACCAACTTCTGTTGGTGAGAGGATGAGCTTACACAGAGCTCTTCTTTGAGCCAACAGAAGTTGGTCCAGTACAAGATATTACCTTACCCTTCTTGTCTAGAGCCACATTTAACAAAAACGGTGACTAGTTTCAATAGTACAGAAACCCACTCAAAACTTCAAACTGATTTTGGTGGGGAGCTTATATATGAGAAGTGAATTTTTGTTGAAACTGAACTTGTATCCAGAATATATCTTCATTTATAAACTCCTCTTTTGGAAGCAGAAAGCAATATATTGTGTTCAGCCTGATACATGATATCCGGAAAAAAACAGTAACAAAGATTCCCCAAAGGATTCGATATCTACATGCTACATAACTTTAATAAATATGATCTCATAATAGCACGAGGGGATAAACTTTCAAAAAGCCTTGCTACATGCTTGTTTCCTAATTAGAAGGCTGTATGTAATTTCCTGTCTTCTGATCATCACATTATGTATTGTTTACATAATTCTTTGAAGATGTAAAACTCTCAAAGTGTTAAAAAATAGGACCACTAGTAGTAGTATTTATTGCATTCTTTCCCCCCATGCAACTGAATGATTCTGTGTGTTTCATATTTGAACATGGGGCAGTAGGTTAGTTGTACTAGCCAATTTATATTTTTTGTGAACTATCGCTGTAATATACTTTAGGTTTGATCTTGAGAAGTGCTGCACTTGCCCAGCTTCTGTGGACTTTAATGGGAATTGAAGGTGCTCAGAAGTACATAGGATTGGGCCTAGGTTCATGTTCTTTTCTTTTTTTTTTTTTTTTGTGGGGGGGGGTGTCTATCATTAATATGTTTCTCTAAACGATTAACAACAATATTTAGTCCTCATGGATCTTTTTATTTCTGCTTTCTTTTAAATCTACTTACCTGAAATCCGTTGGGGTTTTGTAACAACCATTTGGACTCATTATTCAGTGGAGGTATTGACTTCCATCGTAAGTGTGCGCTCAGCCACATGAAAGTACCACACCCAGAGCTGTAATGTATACAGTATTATACACAGTTACCTACTTTGCACCTCATTTGAACAGCTGCATAAAACTTAAAACAAATGAAAAAAACTTTCCCATATAAGAGAAATATTGGTAAACTAGGACCCATCTCAACAAAAACACTGGTATTTTTACATTGTATTTACTGTACTTCAGATGCCATATACAAACCAATACTTGTTTGTTATTAATAGTATCTTATTAAATATGAACATCTTTCTCAAGAATCTGTTTTATCTAGATAGTTGAAAATGTAATACTTAAACAACAGGAGCCTATGATCCATAGATCCAATAGTGTGATTTAAAGTAATTTCTTGTCACATGTCATCAAACTACTTTTTTCTGAGTGAGGATAGGTGTCCGACATCATGTGTGCTTGAGTGATGACAGGTGCTTGCTTTTTATAACCTAATTTATTTTTTAAACTCAGTTTGCAGCACATATTGTATCTGGGGACTGCACTAGGGATTAAAGAAAAGAGCGGCCATATTACCAGAATGCGTTGCCTTGAAGATGTAGGCAGTCACAGTGAGCCTGCTACCAGCTGCTCTGAGTGCTGAGAACTCTCCTTTAAGAAACAAAAATAGCAGCTGCTGCAGCTGCTCCTGAAAATTTTGCCACCTTGTTATGCAAATCTAATTTGTACATACAGTTTAAATCACTCAGACAATTAAGCATATTTGAAGTTGTTTATGGAAACTTTTCTCAGCTATTTGTTGGAGACTGTACTCCAGAAATAACTGCGACAAAGCTAAGAATATATAAACCAAAGTATTATTGGTTAGAGCTAATCTACTGCATATGCTAGGTGTATTTTGCATTATCGAGTTGAGTCTGACTAAAAAAGACCCCAACAAACCTCCATGCCTCTTTTCCTTCAATTTTTTCACTGATGTATGGCTTACAGCAAAGTTAATACTTTATGTGGGCCCAGGACACATTACAACCTAAAAGGCAAGGTTCAAGGTATACTGGGTTTGAGAAGTGTTTTAAAAGAGTTACAATATATTTTATCAGTATATATACTATCACTTAGGTAGCATTTCTGGAGAGGCAGTCTATTAGCAAATCTAAAAGAATATTTGAAAGTAGTCAGCCCCTGAAAAAGTGGCATGCCCATTTTCTGGGATTATTTCAATGTGAGGCATTTAAATTATTTTAAAATAATGGTTAAATAGCATCTTACTCTAACACTTCCGTAAATGTGACAATGTTTTTACCTTACATACATGTACAGATTTGTCAGTTTTTCAAGACTAGACATTGAGATTAATAAAATCATTACTACTTGACTCAGACTGTTGTACCAATATATCATTTACACATTAGTGTATTTTATTGAGGTAGACAATCACACAAATGGACAAGTTTTTCCTTCTTGTGCAGCAACACCAGTGACCCGAAAGAGGTATATTATAATTGTACCTAAAATGCAACTGAGATGTTTGTCAGTCTTTCAGATACCAGGGAGAGTTTGTAGGGCTGGCAGTGAGGAAATCCAATATTTGTAAACAGAGCAAAACTGACATGGAATCATGGACAACAATAAACAAGGAACCTCAGGATCCATTTATACAGTCACTCTTCAGAGCAGAGTCATGTGGTCTCTGAAAGCCTCCCTTCACAATTTTCCACTTTTCTGGTAGCCTGGTTGTTTCTCTCAGATGTATACAGAACATAAGGAATCATATTATCCAGGCCTGGGATGACCAAACACTGAGACCTGGAATGTTATAGCACTGGAAGCCTGACAACTGTACTTAACGTGCATACATTTGAAAATTTAAAAAAAATGAACATCTGACTGGACCTGTGCCTTCCTTGGCATGATGCAAACTATTACTTTGATTTATTGTATAGTGCCCAGAAGTGTCACAGGTACTTCACAGAAGAGAGAGAAATTCATAGAGTAAAATCCTGACCCCACTGAAGTCAATAGCAAAGCTGACTGACTTCAGTCATGCCAGGATTTTACCCATTGTCTTTGACCCAAAGAGCTTAGGCCCAAATCCACAAAGGTACTTACATGCTTAAGTCCCAGTTTTAGGTTCCACTGCGATCCACAAAACCCCAACCAAACTCTGTAGGTGCCTAAACTCATTCAGCGCCTCAGTTTTCAGGGTAGAAGTTCCATAAGTGATTGTTTCTGCCTCTGGGCACAAGTGCTGCTGCCTCCCTCTAGGTATGTCACACCTAAGCCCCAGAGCAAATCACAGACTTGGGAAAGATAGGCATTCATAGTCATGCCTGGGACCTGATCCAGTAGGTAGCCTTTGAACACTCCTATGGGATCAGATGCCATTCAAAATGGCTGGAGGTAGTGATGAGGCCCAGCTTATAAGTTTAACCCAATGATTAGAATATTAACCTGGGATGTGGGTGACCTAGATTCACTTTCTCCCCTTTCTATCAGAGGGGAGAAAGGATTTAAACAGGCTTCTCCCCCATCTCAGGCACTCCGTGCTATGGGACTCCCTCAGTCTCTCCTGTTGAAGCTGTTCCCTGGTGGCTAACTAGTGAAAGTGATAGGAACTGGGGGACTGGAGCCAGGGGTCTCCTACCTCCCAGGTGGCTGCCCTAACCACTGGACTAGTTTCTCTCTCTCTCACTCTGGTCCAAAGACCATTTAAGTAAGTATCCACAGTGGAACAGTCATTGGGCCTGAGAGAGAGCAAGCAAGAGAGAATGACTCTATAATCCCATAGGTAGAGCACCCACCTGCGAGGTGGGAGACCCTGGATCCAGTTCCCCAGCACCTATCACCCTTTTCTTGGCATCTCCCATTGGCTACCTTAGGTGGCTCTGCACCTAGTGTGTTGCCTTTTGTGGATCACATTCTTAGGCACCTGTCTCTCCTCAAACACTATATAGGGAGGCTAGGTATCTAACTCAGCTTTCTGGATCACAGTGTTGTTCGTGTGCTTTTCTAGGTGCCTAAAAGTTAGATACTGCAACATTCAGTGATGCGATGCCTAAGTCCCTTCATAGATCCCTCCTGGCCAAAGTAAGTGTAGACATGAAGCAACGAGTTAGAATGACAATCAGGAGAAGATGTGGCAGGAAACAATGAGAGCAACATCAAGATGATCATGTGGTTAATCCATTCAAAGCACGTGCTTGTCTTGGTGTTTTCTTTAAATATAAAGCAATAACTGGAAATAGTAAATGTAGTTCTGGTTGTTTAAGTTCATCATCAGCAACAGACGTTGGAAGTTGATTATCTCTGTGTTTCCCCTGTAGTTAGGGCAAGAATGCAGAAGCAACACTTCAGGACTGCATGACTTCCTTTGGCTAAAATATCTAGATTAGGGTGGCCTGTCAAAATCTGTGGGAAGCAAACTGCTCAGCCTCCCACGCTGATAATGCTATTATTTTCTTTAAACAAGGATTACTAGAGATCAAAATGCCAGACTTTACAAGTGATCACACATTAAAAAAAACAAACGCTGAGAATTGCATGCAGCTTCTCATAAAAGTGGCATGTCTGTGGGGAAGAACCCCTGGGAGGTATCCATAGAGCATTTTGGGGGAGTGGTAGGGTCACAAAAGTGGCAGAACCAAAATGACTGTTTGCTTCCCTTGTCTTCTGGTATGCTTGCCAAAGCTCCTGTATTTTCACACAGCACTGCTGCATGTCCCTGGTATAGTGCTCCTCCCCCAAGCCCTGTGCAATCTTGGCATAGATGTCAGCATTTCTTCTGCTGGATCGAAGCTCTGCCTACCCAGACTCTTCTCCTCCCCTCTCCTCCCCCAAGCAATAAGATCCACCGCCTCCTGTGTCCTCCATGCTGGAGTGGGTTTGTGGCCTTGAGTCTCCATGATCAGCTGTGCTGGCAAGCTCTCCATACTGATCAAACAGGAACTGAAAATTCCAAAGTTTCCAGGGCTTTAACAGGGAGCGATTGTTTCCTGTGTACCTGGCTCACATCCAGTAGAGTTGAAAGCGCTCTCCAGAGCGGTCACAGCAGAGCATTGTGGGACACCTCCTGGAGGTCAATTCATTCAAATTGCACAACGCAGTGTCTACACTATCCCCATGTTGACCCATGGATGTCAAATCAATCACTATGCCTCTTGCAGAGGTGGAGTACAGAAGTCAACTTTACAGCCACTTAAGTCGGTGGAAGGGACTTGGTAGCGTAGACACATACAGACGCTCCCCAGGTTACGCAAGACCCGACTTACGCAAATCTGCACTTACGGAAAAAGTTCTGTAAGCTAGAAATAAGAGGGGTTTTTTTGGCGTAACGTTCGGGTATACGTTTCTGACTTAGACAAAATTCAAGTTACGCAAGGCTTTCTGGAACAGAACGATTGCGTAAGTGGGGGAGCATCTGTACATTATTAGATCGACTTAACACAGCTTAAGTCGACCTACGTTTGTAGTATAGACCAGGCCTGAGATTCTGCTCCATAGCAAAAAGCTGTATAATCATGGAGGACTTCAATTTGAGTGATATATGCTTGAAATCTCATGCAGCCATTAAAAAAAAAATCCTTGGAATTTCTAACGTTTAGGTTAGTTTCTTAACTCAAAATGTGCTGGATGTCTTAGTGATATATAAAAATTAATGGTACCTTAGGTACAAATTGATCATGACATTTTTAATGTACAAAGTTCAGACCAGTGTTTATAAATAAAATAAAAAAAGTGTGTATATATATATACACACACACTATACACACTGCTTTAACAGGACTGAATTCACAAAGCTGAAAACAATTCTGAGCCAAAAATCAGCTGGGAGGAAGAATTTAAATCAGAAAAATGTAAATAATAATTAGGAATTCTTTAAGAAATCTTCACTAGATGCCCCCAAAGCCACAATCGAGGAAGATGGCTGTTAAAAAACCACTTTGGACTAAAACGGAAGTGAAGGCAGCTATAAAAAACAGTAATATGGAAGAAAGGGGAAGCTGACAGTAAGGAAAATAAACCAAACTAGTAACCGTAGAAAATAGATAAGGGAGGCAAAGGGACA